AACTCCAAACCTGGCAGAGATAGGCCCATAGTTACTATTGAAGTTGAATAGGAAGTCATATACTGGCAATTTACTATGACCTTGGAATTGACCTTTGACCTACCTTACGATGAACTTAACTTTGATTGTACCATTTTTAGTAATATATATATTTTTTGCATATTTTGAAAATTCTTGTTGATTGCATTTTTACAGCTTGTCAAGCACAAGACTGGTGGCTGTGTTCCTTATTTTGTATATGTGGGGGTCTATACGAATGCGCTTGCTCCAGCTGGTGGTACAATATTCGGAGGCGGTATCGCCTCTCTGATCCTCTAGTTTTATAATAATTTTTCATTCAGAATTTAATGCCCAGGCTTGCAGCTAAGTTGGACGTGTCACCAGTATCAGACATCATAGGTGTCAAGTCTCCAGACACTTTTGTCCGCACAATCTATGCAGGTGAGTGTGGGTTTGGCTCTGTCAGTTGGTAGTTGTAGGATCAACATTTAGAATACTGAATTGCTGTATGCTGAATATAGAATTATAGTTGAAAATAAATTTGTATGAATTTGTGATATCAACAAAACCATACATTTTTATCTCTTTAGTCAACTGTATGGCAAATTTTGATAACATAGAATTTAAATAGTTTAATAGTTGGCCCGCTTAGTAATTTCTCAAAACTGTTGGAAATTGTTTCAGGGAATGCTATCCAAACAGTGAAATCCAAAGATAAAATAGTGGTCCTTACTGTAAGAGGAACATCCTTTGAACCTGCAGAGACGTCTGGAGGAAGTGCTGGCCAAGAAACTGGTAAGATCACCTTGTGTATATGCAAAGTAATATGTTGTTGTGTGTGTTTGTTGTGTTAGTGGCTCAGTTAAAATTGACTATTATAGAAAAGTAAAAGAATGCAGTTTGTGTGTGGGTTGGGGGTGGGGTTTTTTTTTCATGCATTCTTTTCCCATTCCCAATTTTGATTTAAAATATATTTTAATAAAAGTGATTTAGGTTTGTATTGGCTGTTTTAAACTATGTATGATTTCTTTCTCATAGTGAGCGCTGATGTCTCCAACGAGCTGTCCAGTTATGTTGGGTCAGAGATTCACAAGAGTGACCGCCCAGAACTTGCTGGGGCTGCCACTGTTGTCTCAGGAGGTAAGCAAAAATACAGGCATTCTTGGTCATTTGCAATTGTAAAGTTAAATATTTTATTGATCAGTGCAGCTGAAAAATAAGTAAAGGCCTATTTGAGTAATCAGTTATTTTGATTATCTTTAAGCCAGAGCTGTCTTATGTATGATGATGTAAATAAGATGTGTAACAAATGAGTTATTTTGACGTTTGCACATAAAAGTGTACATTTTAAGGGATATTATGGTATTTATGGAGCAAGACGTGATAGTTTTCAGCATATCAGCTGATTCATTCTTTTAGGTAGAGGAATGAAAAACGGAGAAAATTTCCAGCTTCTGTACAATCTTGCCGACACAATGCAGGCAGCCGTGGGAGCCTCTCGTGCTGCTGTGGACGCAGGATTTGTACCCAATGACATGCAGGTTGGACAAACCGGAAAAATTGTAGCACCTGTAAGTGGCTAGATTAGATTTTTTTTTTATTTACAGCAAAGCACAGGAAATTGTGGTCCTGCATATGGTGTTCAACATTTGATTTCATCAAAATGTGACACTGAGCACCTCTTTTTTTTTTTACATGTTATATAAAACAAAATTGTTACATACTCTTCAACTTGAACATAATACTGCTCTCCAGTGAAGTAATTTGATGTAAATGGAAAATCTCATATGTTCCTTAAAACAATTTATTTTATGTAGAAATCATAATACTTATAGGTTATATTTATGTATATGTATTAATATTCATTGCAGCAACTATACATAGCAGTAGGCATCTCTGGAGCCATCCAGCATTTAGCAGGAATGAAAGACAGTAAAGTTATCGTGGCTATCAACAAGGACCCAGAAGCACCCATATTCCAAGTGGCTGACTATGGCTTAGTAGCAGATCTCTTCAAGGTTAGAATCTGGTTTTGCCTGATTATATGTATTATTAAGGCTGTGATCACAGCTAGATTAGAAATAGTCTATCACTGTTGCCAAGTGACCATATTTGGTATTTAAGGTCTAGTTTTTCTTAGGTTGGGAAGAAAACTATGAGAAAAAACTCCTACTTACAAAGCTTCAGTGGGGTTGAAATCAACTTAACTTGCTGAAATATTGTGACATAAAACTGTCATATGAATAAAACAAAGTTAAACTCCAGGATACTTAAAAAACAAAATGGTGGAAGCAAGTATTGAAGAAGTAATCAAGAGTTTCTTTTATTTTTTGTTAGGCTGTACCGGAGATGACGGAGAAGTTAAAGGCATAAGGATCATTCCAGGCATTTGATCAAAGCCATTACAACAGCCTCATATTAAACTCAATCCAAATACATTGCTTTTAAAAAGGGTATAAAGAGACCAATTGAATGAGACGTTATGAGGAACAATATTATATTACGTATCTTTCTTTTCTTAAAAAATCGGCGTTTGTAAAAGAATTGTGATTTTGAGAGACAATGCAGAATTCCACTAAATATACGCAAAAGAAAGATCAAGTTGCTAGTGCTTTTCAGAGGACTCCAGCTTAAAAAATATTGCCCTGGCAGACAAAAATGGACATATCCATCACATATTTTCAAAAGAAGATTTGCGCTATTGCGTCTTGTTGATATTTGATTAATTGTGTAGAAAGTAAACAATGTGATATCACCATTTAAGATGTTTTTAAATTGTAACTTAAAAGTATCTTTATAAGTTGCTGTAATAGTTTCTGTAAAACAAAAGCTAGCGGTTTTCAAATCGCCTGGAATAAAAGCACAGGTGTTATTGAAGATTCCCTCGAAGTATTATTATTCTGCAGTAACTGCTACAGGAGTTGTGAGCATAAGAGCTGAGGAATTTATCATCTATTATCTCGGGGATATTGTCAGTACCAGCGATGTGACAGAAACGAACCAGAAGACTTGCTGGTGTCGTCCCACAGGTCATTCAGGGTACGCACTCCATGGTTCCTTTGCCAATTATGACTCTATCTCTAGGTATTTTGAGTCAGTTATAATAGTTTAGAGCAGCATGATTGACAATAGTAATAATAATGAAAAATAACAACTTACGTAACTAGTGCAAGTGGCAAAATCCGAATTTTCTTTTTACTTTTATTTATTTTGTGGATTTAGTTGGGTTTACATAAACATATCATGGACTTCACTCATGTTATATGACATATCAAAGTCTACTAGTGCATTGCAGGGATTCGACCCAGAATGCTGAAGACGAACAAGAGATGGGTCGGTTGTTAATGATTAATCAACATGTACATGTATGCCAGGCCGTTCTTGTCGCAGACAGCACTACAGCATCAAAAAGATAACATATTAAGTGTTATTTATTAAGTGATTATATTGAGTGTTTTCCTGATACGGAAGAGTCACTAAATGGTGCGTGTATATTGTTTTATAAATCTTCAAAAATAATAATTTGAAACTGTCAGTTATTTAACCTGCTTGCATAAGGTGTGATCGTGTCTTTCCTCGGATATTCTGTTATCTTTAAGTGACCGACGCTTTGCGTAATAACTGAAACTGGGTATGTTAACGAGGTTTTCTCAAGAAAGCCCGTCCTGTTACGGTCGTTTCTAAAGAAAATTAATACAATTGGTTGATAATGTTCATCGTTTTTAATATATTTTATTGCTGTGAGGTAAGAATGCTCTCGTAACATCCATCCCCACCCAACCTAATGCCATTTTACTCCGTACATATGACCAACATATTGCGTAAGAATTGAAGCAGAATAGTAATATAAGTACATGCGTCTATCTTTTCAATTCACCCGACTTTTATCAGAACGCATCTTGTGTTGACAAACAGATAGTTTAGATACGTTTCACGTGCTATTTGCTTATAATCCGGTCAGCGTTTCATAACACTTTTCCAGTAGGTTAATGGGATTACTTAATTAAAGTTATACGCATTTCAAAACTGGAAAAAAAACTTCAATTTATTCCAGATGGTTGAATATTTAGATTTATTAGATAGTGACGCGGCATATCTTAAAAAAAGTTTTACTAGCGTTGTCAGTAATACACATCCACTAATGATAATAAAAGGTATTTGATTAAAAAAGTAAGTTATGACAGAAATAACTTGGGCAAAGGTTGTTTTTAAACCCGTTGGGTACGAAAGCAGCGACTCCGTCGATTTCGTTTTAATATTTCCTTTTGAACGGATTACAGCATCCTTAGAAGCTGAAGAGTCAGAACGCAAGAGCAGAACATCTTAACCCCGCTAACTGAAGATTATTTGTTTTTAAGACAAGCGGAGATATCAATGGGTTATGTATAAAGTATCTTCATTATCTCGTCTTCTTGTGTACTTAGCCCAGCCTGGTACGGGACCCGGCCTCTGCTCGATAGTTTCTTAGTTCAGTCATGATACGCCCCTTCACTGAATAAGACCGGCTTAAACGTGGGCACAGAAAAAAGGGGGATATCATTTTTTGCCGAACATGAAGTTTCTCTTAGCTGTTCTGCTGATCAGCGCAGGTGAGTTTCTGATATTTTTACTTGTTTTAAGAATGATAAGACCAGAATAGTTGAATGTGCTCTGCGAGCGCATTGCAAAATGGAAAAACCGCTAGCGAATTAGTATATGCGGGTGATGTAATGCAATCTGTCGAGTTTTACATATGTTTACAAATGATTTTCAACGAAAAGACAATATATACACCAGTGCGCCTATACTAATACATAACACGAGTTTTAAAATGATTTATTGGAAATTGCTTCTGTAAATACTTTTGGCAATTAGCGCTCACAGCTGTTTCCCCTCGACCAAGACGAGTGTTTCCTGCAGATTTCTCTATAGCCTTGAAGGGGGCAAAATATATTCAGCAATATGTATTTCACACACATTTGACCATATGCAAAACTTTATCCATATACTTCACAAAAATAGTATAATAATAATAATACTTATTATTATTATTATTATTATTATTATTATAGTCGCTTCTTGTTCCTTTCTTTGTCTGTGTGTTTGCGTTCTCTAAGCTTAATATCCATTATTTATATTGTAAATTAGCCCCGAATATGTCAAACAAAAAAATTTGTGCGGCGTTAGCTGTTTTAACTATTTTGTCTTAAGTTAAACTCTTCTTAGACAAACATAACCTTATAAAACGTCAATATTTTTGTGATGTCCATAAAACGGCTTGAAATTTCTAAATAAAAGAGCGACTCTTCGTCCTGATGGCTAAGAACAAACTTTCGTCCAATGTTTAGAATTATGTATGGCAAGAAAAGTGATGTTCACAAACACAAGTAATTAATTGCTCACTTATAAGAACAGGGAGAATGAAATTCTAAGAGTTGGGCGTGAAATAAATACTCCGAATTTCATCCCCAATACTGTTGCTCTTCATATGACAACTTGTTTGTTGACAGTCGTCCTCAATTTCTTTCAAAAAGGTTTAAAATGTCTTAAAGTAACCACTTCTTCTTTTCTATCCCCCAAATGATAATTTCGTGCTATTGTTCGAACCGATATCAAGGCGTCCAGTCTCACCCCCTCCCCCTCCCTTGTATCATTCACCTGTTTGTTTTATCTATCAATATCAGTTCAATATGTACAGGGTTTCCTCCCACTTAATTCAACGGCTGACTTACAGGTCATGGTCTGATCACAAAAACACGATAAATTTACTGAACACAGTGTGTCATTTTTTTTTTGTGCAGAAGTTTTTCTTTTCCCGTCCAAGCAGTGAAATGTAACATTTTGCTTATGATTTATGAACACTACAATAATTTTATTTCTTATAAATGACATTTATTTAAGCATCCGCTCAGGACTTCAAATGTCCGAAGGGATGGGTCGGCTACGGCAGATACTGCTACTACTTCAGTGACGCTGTGTGGAATTGGAATGATGCGAACGCTGTATGCAGGGGACGGCAAGGCAACTTGGCCAGTGTTGAAAACGCGGACGAGTGGGTAAGTTTGCTTCTATCACATTCGTACGATAATATCAAGAATAAGACCATCGATCCAAACAATATGGAAGACGACTGCATCGTCTTGTGCGATGAAGTTTGATATTTTTCTTGGCGATAATATCTGTGACTGCAATGTTATTTGGATGTTTTTCTTTGTTTAGTCCGTTGGATATTATCAACATACCTGCTCCGTTCTGGTACTGAAACGGTGACCTTTGGTACACTGAAAATCGGGGTTCTAGTTGCTCCCTTACGAAACGATAATGCGATTAAAAACGGGAAATGAAACGTGAAAGCATATTTGTAGGTTGTTATATATTAACTTCATGAACCTCCAAGTTGGTATTAATTAATGACCGCGTTGTTATCACTGTGGGGGGAGAGAAGGGGGGGTTATCAAGTGTCTACATTCCTGTACAGGCCAGTATTTACACTGAATGTAACAGTGCCATTGTCACTATTATCCAAATCCAATGTTTACAGACGGGTGATATTGTACATCATTGTTGAATTTTGTTTTAATTTCAAATACTTAAAATAAATTCATGACAGATATTTTAGAGAGTATGCCTTATTATACGGAAAACCTGCACATCTAGAGGCCTACTGTATCAATGGACTTCAAATTTGTGAAAGTTGATTTCTTTATGGATTTTTGAGTCATTGATCTTAACTGAAATACTGTCATTTACTGCTTATTTTTTCATAATTACGAAGATATGGGCAACTACCTATGATAAACAAAACTCATGCTCAATGTTTACAGTAAATCTATCAATATGAAGTAGGCCTGTAAAACTTCGATAGTTAACGGGATTATTATTTAATTTAATTTATTTTATTATTTTTTGTTTAAGAAATAGAGCTCGGCTGATTATCATCTAAAATATTTGACTGTGCCATCTTTAAAACACTGTGATTAGTTGTCGAAATTGTCGCTATCACGCACATAATGATAACAGTTTTAAAACCTGATGTAGTTTTAGGACAATACATTTAAATCTGTTTTAACGGAAAGTGTGAAGGTGACATTGATGTGGTATCAAAGAAAGTATCGAAAACAATTTCAAAATCCCTATTCTGTGGCGTTGACTTAATTTTTATCTGGACGAAGTATGTTAGTTCTAAACCATTTCAATTCTACTTGTATAACTACAAATGGCAACATACAGAGACGTTCTTAATAATTAATATATTTTTAGAATTTTGTGGCACGTGGGTATGGTTTATCGTTTCCTGATGAAGTTGCTGGGCATGCGCACGACATAGACGTAGAACAAAAATTCATGCGTTAGCACTCCTATTGACGATTCTGATATGTACTGTTAGCACAGACAGTACATATCAGAATCGGCAATAGGAGTGCTAACGCATGAATTTTCGTGCTAGACATAGACGTTGAAATGCGCCGTTAATTTGCCTTTATTTTTCTCACAAATATTTAGCCAATATTTGAAATTCGCGCAGCATACAATACTACTAGTATTTTAAAACATTTATTCAGCACTTAGTATAGTGTTTTGATAACTGTTCAGGAGTACGGTGTTTTGAACTACATGGCAAGTGTGACACTAGTTCTCCAATTATGGAGTTCAAAGGCATTTCTTGGAGTGGAGTTTGCACCACTAAATGCCCTGCGGAAGGGAATCAACATCAGTACGAAGACACGGCTTGGACGGCCTTTTCAATCTAATTAGAAGTAAAACTTAAAATGATCCTTCTTTGGAACAGGCTGCAGTCCCTATGAATGACAGCAGACTGACCAAGACTACTATTCCTATGTGATTTCAGCAATGTTTTAAGAACTACAGATAAACTACACGTGAACTACAGATGATGTTATAAAGAGAAGATTCTAGTAGTTACACTAAAATATGTCTTTTTGTCATTGCTGTAGTAAACTACAGCATCCTCAACTATTCCAGCTTCTGGTTAAAACAAGCTAATTAAGAGTTAGGTGGCCTTTGCCAGTCAATATTGGTATACTGTACAATCACTAAAACTCCTTGAACTGGTGGATCAGTGTTTTTGCAATTCAGAAGGGAGTTGTATTGTTTATTTACTCTTTTACTTATTTTTCTGTAGAAAAAAAATTGTGGGAGTGCTAAAATGTAACTTTGACTGCCACAATTGTCTCTTTAACTTTTACCAATTCTGTACTTGTATACAAAACTCTTTTCATTGGCGGGAAATTTTTAATTTAGAGATACTGTATTTTTTAAGTCATATAGTTTCTCAAAGTTATAACATTCCTATTGAGTGGTAGAAATAATATTTAAAAACAGGCTACTCTGTAAGTCTTTTTTTGTACAGTAACAGCACCATAAATGCTATGTAGATATATTATTTTTGTGATCATAAAAAAATGCCCATTGAAAAGATTGAGTAATTACCGTAGTGTATAACCATTATGTAATTATTATTATTATTTTGCAGGCATTTATAGACAGCCAACTGAACATTAAAAGAAGGGAGTACTGGTTCGGTCTCAATGACAAGGCTAAGGAAGGCACATTTGTCTGGAGCGATAGGACAAAGGTCAATCAGACTCTGTTGTAAGTAAACGGGCAGCTTTCAGCTAAATAGTGCATCACAAGTAAAAGTTTGGTCCTTTCGTGTTTAAATTCAAAACATAGTTTTTCTCATTCTATATATTCTTTTTTATATACTGCTTTTATTTCAGAAGTGGTTTGCATGACTTTTTTTAACATTTCAATACAAATATCATTCTTAGTTTAAGCAGTCTTGATTAAGATAAATTCAAATTGTAACTTGTCTTTATAGAAATACTCTGTGGTCAAATGGACAGCCAGATGACTATAAAAAGAGTGAAGATTGTGTACACAATTGGTACCGTACTGGTGGTAGCAAGTTGAATGATGGCAATTGCAATGCAAAAATGCCATATATTTGCAAAAGGAAAAACAGTAAGTTGAATGTACTAATTGTAGTCACTGTTAGACCTCATAATAGTTGTTCAATCAGCATCTTTTTTTTAGTTTGAAAACAGTTGAAGATAATAAAAGTTTTTTAATGCATGTGTAATAAACTTAGTCTAGGAGTATAGATTATTTGTCAAAAAACTATTCATGTAATATTTTGATTATTTGTGTTTATCATATTAAAAAAAAATCATATATCTTTCTTATTTGACATTATTTTTTCAGATCTTGTTGAGTTTTGTGATATTGAAGATGGGTGGCATTTCCTCAACAACATGTGCTACAAACTGTTCTTAGATCCAAAAACCTGGGATGGCGCGCGACAGGATTGCCAGGATCAAGATGGCGACCTGATGGTGGTCCAGAACACTAACGAGATCAAGTTTATATCTGATTCTATCTCTTGTGGGCTTCATGACAATATTTGGCTTGGGCTTTCAGATAGAAAAGAAGTAAGCTGTAAATTTGGGAATATTGGTTGATTTTTACCTGTGGTGGAGTTTAGCAGGTCTATTAGTCATAGATATAATCTATTTTTTTCTTCTTTATGTTCTCCTTTTTTTCTGACTTCTTCCAAATGAACAATTTCCACTATATGTTTCAGTAGGTCAAATTTTTACAGCCTGTGGATTGTTATTGGTGTAGACAGTGTATATTTTAAGAATGTGCTTTAACTTAGGGGTAGTATTTTTTACTTAAAATGGAGGTAAACACTAAATGTATTTCCATTTATTCCTTTTTTTTACCCTGTATAGTTGCAAAAGTATGACTCAACCCATGCCAATATTACAATAAAGTTCTGTGCAAAGGCGTATGTTTTGGAAATTTAGTAATGGTTGTTGTGTGTGATTAACTTTATTTTCATGGCAATTTTTTTTTAAAGTTTCAGGCCCAACCCATGACTTTCAAATGGGTGAACAAAGCAGGCTTCAACAATGCTTTCAGAGGACAGTGGGATACAAACCAGCCTTCAAATGTGTAAGTTGAATGGTTTTGAAATAATCTAATTATCCCAAATTTGGAATAGTAAACAGTGCTGAGTGATGAACTGAGATAGATTGATACAGTAATGTATGTGGTTTCGGTGTCTTCTCTCAATATGGCAATCATTGCATAAACATTTCAGAAAAGTCAAACTAAGCTGTGTGACTTTGTGCAGTCTTTTCTTTGGTCTGCCCTACTATTATAATACTTTGTCTTACTCACAGAATATGGTTTAAGCTGTGTAAATCACAGATCTTTTTGTAACGCAACTAGGTCCCTTGGCAACAATTGTGTCTTTGTTCTGGGAACATCAAATTACAAATGGAGGACAGATGCCTGTGGTGTTGAAAGGTCTTACATCTGTGAGCGGCCCAGAGGTAATAGACCTAACCATGGTTCTTTATGTTATGCCACCTCAGATAAAAATAATACAGATTAAAGGTGTTCGTGACTGGAGGAAGTTTTATGCCTTGTCACCTGTATTTGTTAATGTGAGTCACTTACAGGATTAATATGTATTTGTGTGGTGAAACATTTTGAGAAAAATTGGTGAAACAATTTGAGAAAATATGCTTACCTGCACATGCTGTTATGAAATCAGTGATTCATATTGTTTATCACTCTTGTTCAGGGTCATGTCCCAAAGGATGGAGAAGCTGGAATGGTAACTNAAGTTTTACTAGCGTTGTCAGTAATACACATCCACTAATGATAATAAAAGGTATTTGATTAAAAAAGTAAGTTATGACAGAAATAACTTGGGCAAAGGTTGTTTTTAAACCCGTTGGGTACGAAAGCAGCGACTCCGTCGATTTCGTTTTAATATTTCCTTTTGAACGGATTACAGCATCCTTAGAAGCTGAAGAGTCAGAACGCAAGAGCAGAACATCTTAACCCCGCTAACTGAAGATTATTTGTTTTTAAGACAAGCGGAGATATCAATGGGTTATGTATAAAGTATCTTCATTATCTCGTCTTCTTGTGTACTTAGCCCAGCCTGGTACGGGACCCGGCCTCTGCTCGATAGTTTCTTAGTTCAGTCATGATACGCCCCTTCACTGAATAAGACCGGCGTAAACGTGGGCACAGAAAAAAGGGGGATATCATTTTTTGCCGAACATGAAGTTTCTCTTAGCTGTTCTGCTGATCAGCGCAGGTGAGTTTCTGATATTTTTACTTGTTTTAAGAATGATAAGACCAGAATAGTTGAATGTGCTCTGCGAGCACATTGCAAAATGGAAAAACCGCTAGCGAATTAGTATATGCGGGTGATGTAATGCAATCTGTCGAGTTTTACATATGTTTACAAATGATTTTCAACGAAAAGACAATATATACACCAGTGCGCCTATACTAATACATAACACGAGTTTTAAAATGATTTATTGGAAATTGCTTCTGTAAATACTTTTGGCAATTAGCGCTCACAGCTGTTTCCCCTCGACCAAGACGAGTGTTTCCTGCAGATTTCTCTATAGCCTTAAAAGGGGGCAAAATATATTCAGCAATATGTATTTCACACACATTTGACCATATGCAAAACTTTATCCATATGCTTCACAAAATAGTATAATAATAATAATTATTATTATTATTATTATTATTATAGTCGCTTCTTGTTCCTTTCTTTGCCTGTGTGTTCGCGTTCTCTAAGCTTAATATCCATTATTTATATTGTAAATTAGCCCCGAATATGTCAAACAAAAAATTTGTGCGGCGTTAGCTGTTTTAACTATTTTGTCTTAAGTTAAACTCTTCTTAGACAAACATAACCTTATAAAACATCAATATTTTTGTGATGTCCATAAAACGGCTTGAAATTTCTAAATAAAAGAGCGACTCTTCGTCCTGATGGCTAAGAACAAACTTTCGTCCAATGTTTAGAATTATGTATGGCAAGAAAAGTGATGTTCACAAACACAAGTAATTAATTGCTTACTAATAAGAACAGGGAGAATGAAATTCTAAGAGTTGGGCGTGAAATAAATACTCCGAATTTCATCCCCAATACTGTTGCTCTTCAAATGACAACTTGTTTGTTGACAGTCGTCCTCAAATTCTTTCAAAAAGGTTTAAAATGTCTTAAAGTAACCACTTCTTCTTTTCTATCCCCCAAATGATAATTTCGTGCTATTGTTCGAACCGATATCAAGGCGTCCAGTCTCACCCCCTCCCCCTCCCTTGTATCATTCACCTGTCTGTTTAATTTTATCTATCAATATCAGTTCAATATGTACAGGGTTTCCTCCCACTTAATTCAACGGCTGACTTACAGGTCATGGTCTGATCACAAAAACAAGATAAGTTGACTGAATATAGTGTGTAATTTTTTGTCCATAATTTTTTATCATAATGTTTTTATTTCCATTTTTCCCCAAAGCAGTGAAATATAACAGCCGCTTATAATTTATGAACACCACAATGATCTTACGTCTTATGAATGACATTTATTTAAGCATCCGCTCAGGACTTCAAATGTCCGAAGGGATGGGTCGGCTACGGCAGATTCTGCTACTACTTCAGTGACGCTGTGTGGAACTGGAATGATGCGAACGCTGTATGCAGGGGACGGCAAGGCAATTTGGCCAGTGTTGCAAACGCGGACGAGTGGGTAAGTTGGCTTCTATTACATTTGCACGATAATATCAAGAATAAGGCTGTCGATGAAAACAATATGAAAGACTACTGTATCGTCTTGTGCGATCATGTTTGATATTTTTCTTGGCGAAGATATCTGTGACTGCAATGTTATTTGGGTGTTTTTCTTTGTTTAGTCCGTGTAATATTTTCAGCACACCTGCTCCGTACTAGAACTGAAACGGTGACCTTTGGGACGCTAAAACTCGGGGTTCTAGTTGCTCCCTTACGAAACGATAATGCGATTAAAAACGGGAAATGAAACGTGAAAGCATATTTGTAGGTTGTTATATATTAACTTCATGAACCTCCAAGTTGGTATTAATTAATGACCGCGTTGTTATCACTGTGGGGGGAGGGAGGGGGGGGATTTTAATGGGTCTACATTCCTGTACAGGCCAGTATTTACACTGAATGTAACACTGCCATTGTCACTATTATCCAAATCCAATGTTTACAGACGTTTGATATTGTACATCATTGTTGAATTTTGTTTTAATTTCAAATACTTTAATTAAATTCATGACAGATATTTTAGAGAGTATGCCTTATTATACGGAAAACCTGCACATCTAGAGGCCTACAGAGGCGTACTGTATCAATGGACTTCAAATTTGTGAAAGTTGATTTCTTTATGGATTTTTGAGTCATTTATCTTAACTGAAATACTGTCATTTACAGCTTATTTTTTCATAATTACGAAGATATGGGCAACTACCTATGATAAACAAAACTCATGCTCAACGTTTACTGTCAATATGAAGTAGGCCTATGAAACCTCGATAGTTAACGGGATTATTACTATTATTTATTTTATTTTATTATTACTATTATTATTATTACTTTTTTTGTATAAGAAATAGAGCTCGGCTGATTATCATCTAAAATATTTGACTGTGCCATCTTTAAAACACTGTGATTAGTTGTCGAAATTGTCGCTATCACGCACATTATGATAACAGTTTTAAAACCTGATGTAGTTTTAGGACAATACATTTTAATCTGTTTTAACGGAAAGTGTGAAGGTGACATTGATGTGGTATCAAAGAAAGTATCGAAAACAATTTCAAAATCCCTATTCTGTGGCGTTGACTTAATTTTTATCTGGACGAAGTATGTTAGTTCTAAACCATTTCAATTCTACTTGTATAACTACAAATGGCAACATACAGAGACGTTCTTAATAATTAATATATTTTTAGAATTTTGTGGCACGTGGGTATGGTTTATCGTTTCCTGATGAAGTTGCTGGGCATGCGCACGACATAGACGTAGAACAAAAATTCATGCGTTAGCACTCCTATTGACGATTCTGATATGTAGGCCTACTGTTAGCACAGACAGTACATATCAGAATCGTCAATAGGAGTGCTAACGCATGAATTTTCGTGCTAGACATAGACGTTGAAATGCGCCGTTAATTTGCCTTTATTTTTCTCCCAAATATTTAGCCAATATTTGAAATTCGCGCAGCATACAATACTACTAGTAGGCCTATTTTAAAACATTTATTCAGCACTTAGTATAGTGTTTTGATAACTGTTCAGGAGTACGGTGTTTTGAACTACATGGCAAGTGTGACACTAGTTCTCCAATTATGGAGTTCAAAGGCATTTCTCGGAGTGGAGTTTGCACCACTAAATGCCCTGCGGAAGGGAATCAACATCAGTACGAAGACACGGCTTGGACGGCCTTTTCAATCTAATTAGAAGTAAAACTTAAAATGATCCTTCTTTGGAACAGGCTGCAGTCCCTATGAATGACAGCAGACTGACCAAGACTACTATTCCTATGTGATTTCAGCAATGTTTTAAGAACTACAGATAAACTACACGTGAACTACAGATGATGTTATAAAGAGAAGACTAGTAGTTACACTAAAATATGTCTTTTTGTCATTGCTGTAGTAAACTACAGCATCCTCAACTATTCTAGCTTCTGGTTATAACAAGCTAATTAAGTGTTAGGTGGCCTTTGCCAGTCAATATTGGTATACTGTACAATCATTAAAACTCCTTGAAATGATGGATCAGTGTTTTTGCAATTCAGAAGGGAGTTGTATTGTTTATAAACTCTTTTACTTATTTTTCTGTAGAAAAAAAATTGTGGGAGGGCTAAAATGTAACTTTGACTGCCATAATTGTCTCTTTAACTTTTACCAATTCTGTACTTGTATACACAACTCTTTTCATTGGTGGGAAATTTCTAATTTAGAGATACTGTATTTTTTTAAGTCATATAGTTTCTCAAAGTTATAACATTCCTATTGAGTGGTATATTAAATATTTAAAAACAGGCTACTCTGTAAATCTTTTTTGTACAGTAACAGCTATGTAGATATATTATTTTTGTGATCATAAAAAAATGCCCATTGAAAAGATTGAGTAATTACCGTAGTGTATAACCATTATGTAATTATTATTATTATTTTGCAGGCATTTATAGACAGCCAACTGAACATTAAAAGAAGGGAGTACTGGTTCGGTCTCAATGACAAGGCTAAGGAAGGCACATTTGTCTGGAGCGATAGGACAAAGGTCAATCAGACTCTGTTGTAAGTAAACGGGCAGCTTTCAGCTAAATAGTGCATAACAAGTAAAAGTTTGGTCCTTTCATGTTTAAATTTAAAACATAGCTTTTCTCATTCCATGTATTCTTTTTTATGTACTGCTTTTATTTCAAAAGTGGTTTGATTGATTTTTTTAAACATTTCAATACAAATGTCATTCTTAGTTTAAGCAGTCTTAATTAAGATAAATTCAAATTTTAACTTGTCTTTATAGAAATACTCTGTGGTCAAATGGACAGCCAGATGACTATAAAAAGAGTGAAGATTGTGTACACAATTGGTACCGTACTGGTGGTAGCAAGTTGAATGATGGCAATTGCAATGCAAATATGCCATATATTTGCAAAAGGAAAAACAGTAAGTTGAATGTACTAATTGCAGTCACTGTTAAACCTCTTAATAGTTGTGCAATCAGCACCTTTTTTTAGTTGAAGATAATAAACTTGGTCTAGGAGCATAGATTATTCGTCAGAAAACTATTCATGTTATATTTTTATTATTTATGTTTATGATGTTAAAAAAAATCATATATCTTTCTTATTTAACATTATTTTTTTCAGATCTTGTTGAGTTTTGTGATATTGAAGATGGGTGGCATTTCCTCAACAACATGTGCTACAAACTGTTCTCAGATCCAAAAACCTGGGACGGTGCGCGACAGGATTGCCAGGATCAAGATGGCGACCTGATGGTGGTCCAGAACACTAACGAGATCAAGTTTATATCTGATTCTATCTCTTGTGGACTTCATGACAATATTTGGCTTGGGCTTTCGGATAGAAAAGAAGTAAGCTGTAAACTTGGGAATATTGGTTGATTTTTACCTGTGGTGGAGTTTAGCAGGTCTATAAGTCATAGATGTAATCTATTTTTTTCTTCATGTTCTCCTTTTCTTCTGACTTCTTCCGAATGAACAATTTCCACTATATGTTTCAGTAGGTCAAATTGTTATCGTTGTAGACAGTGTATATTTTAAGAATGTGCTTTAACTTAGGGGTAGTATTTTTTACTTAAAATGGAGGTAAACACTAAATGTATTTCCACTTATTCCTTTTTTTACCCTGTATAGTTGCAAAAGTATGACTTAAAACATGACAATATTACAATAAGATTCTGTGCAAAGACGTGTTTTGGAAATTTAGTAATGGTTGTTGTGTGATTAACTTTATTTTCAAGGCAATTTTTTTTTAAAGTTTCAGGCCCAACCCATGACTTTCAAATGGGTGAACAAAGCAGGATTCAACAATGCTTTCAGAGGACAGTGGGATACAAACCAGCCTTCAAATGTGTAAGTTGAATGGTTTTGAAATAATCTAATTATCCCAAATTTGGAATAGTAAACAATGCTGAGTGATGAACTGAGATAGATTGATACAGCTTACAGTAATGTACGTGGTGTCGGTGACTTCTCTCAATATGGCAATCATTGCATAAACATTTCAGAAAAGTCAAACTAAGCTGTGTGACTTTGTGTAGTCTTTTCTTTGGTGTGTCCTATGATTATAATTCTTACTCACAGAATATGGTTTAAGCTCTGTAAATCACAGATCTTTTTGTAACATAACTAGGTCCCTTGGCAACAATTGTGTCTTTGTTCTGGGAACATCAAATTACAAATGGAGGACAGATGCCTGTGGTGTAGAAAGGTCTTACATCTGTGAGCGGCCCAGAGGTAATAGACCTAACCATGGTTCTTTATGTTATGCCACCTCAGATAAAATTATACATTTTAAAGGTGTTCGTTACTGGAGGAAGTTTTATGCCTTATCATCTGTATTTGTTAATGTGAGTCACTTGCAGGATTAATATATATTTGAGTGGTGAAACATTTTGAGAAAAATTGGCGAAACAATTTGAGAAAAGATGTGTACCTGCACATACTATTATGAAATCAGTGATTCATATTGTTTATCACTCTTGTTCAGGGTCATGCCCCAAGGGATGGAGAAGCTGGAATGGTAATTNAAACTATTCATGTTATATTTTTATTATTTATGTTTATGATGTTAAAAAAAATCATATATCTTTCTTATTTAACATTATTTTTTTCAGATCTTGTTGAGTTTTGTGATATTGAAGATGGGTGGCATTTCCTCAACAACATGTGCTACAAACTGTTCTCAGATCCAAAAACCTGGGACGGTGCGCGACAGGATTGCCAGGATCAAGATGGCGACCTGATGGTGGTCCAGAACACTAACGAGATCAAGTTTATATCTGATTCTATCTCTTGTGGACTTCATGACAATATTTGGCTTGGGCTTTCGGATAGAAAAGAAGTAAGCTGTAAACTTGGGAATATTGGTTGATTTTTACCTGTGGTGGAGTTTAGCAGGTCTATAAGTCATAGATGTAATCTATTTTTTTCTTCATGTTCTCCTTTTCTTCTGACTTCTTCCGAATGAACAATTTCCACTATATGTTTCAGTAGGTCAAATTGTTATCGTTGTAGACAGTGTATATTTTAAGAATGTGCTTTAACTTAGGGGTAGTATTTTTTACTTAAAATGGAGGTAAACACTAAATGTATTTCCACTTATTCCTTTTTTTACCCTGTATAGTTGCAAAAGTATGACTTAAAACATGACAATATTACAATAAGATTCTGTGCAAAGACGTGTTTTGGAAATTTAGTAATGGTTGTTGTGTGATTAACTTTATTTTCAAGGCAATTTTTTTTTAAAGTTTCAGGCCCAACCCATGACTTTCAAATGGGTGAACAAAGCAGGATTCAACAATGCTTTCAGAGGACAGTGGGATACAAACCAGCCTTCAAATGTGTAAGTTGAATGGTTTTGAAATAATCTAATTATCCCAAATTTGGAATAGTAAACAATGCTGAGTGATGAACTGAGATAGATTGATACAGCTTACAGTAATGTACGTGGTGTCGGTGACTTCTCTCAATATGGCAATCATTGCATAAACATTTCAGAAAAGTCAAACTAAGCTGTGTGACTTTGTGTAGTCTTTTCTTTGGTGTGTCCTATGATTATAATTCTTACTCACAGAATATGGTTTAAGCTCTGTAAATCACAGATCTTTTTGTAACATAACTAGGTCCCTTGGCAACAATTGTGTCTTTGTTCTGGGAACATCAAATTACAAATGGAGGACAGATGCCTGTGGTGTAGAAAGGTCTTACATCTGTGAGCGGCCCAGAGGTAATAGACCTAACCATGGTTCTTTATGTTATGCCACCTCAGATAAAATTATACATTTTAAAGGTGTTCGTTACTGGAGGAAGTTTTATGCCTTATCATCTGTATTTGTTAATGTGAGTCACTTGCAGGATTAATATATATTTGAGTGGTGAAACATTTTGAGAAAAATTGGCGAAACAATTTGAGAAAAGATGTGTACCTGCACATACTATTATGAAATCAGTGATTCATATTGTTTATCACTCTTGTTCAGGGTCATGCCCCAAGGGATGGAGAAGCTGGAATGGTAATTGCTACCAACTGAACACTGCTACATCAAAACAGATGACATGGACAGAAGCTGATAGGTTCTGCAAAGCTCAGGGTTCCACCCTTATCCAGATTGAAACGTAAGGAAAACATACATCTACATCAAATTAACTCTTATTTTACTTAAACACTGGTTCATGTACATTTAGTATTGCTGTAGTCTGTGTGTTGGTTTGTATTTTCTTTAATTTTGTTAACACCATCCACTGAAAAAAGTTTCACTGTTTTGCTTTAATCTCATAGTCTAAGGCTTCGTTCACATGCAATGTCTATTTTCTAAATTCTATTTTCTATTCGCGCTATCTTATGATCACTGTCTGTGCCCTGAATATCCCGCCGCGTAATTACTGGCAGCGCGAGCCAGTTACTTATAGTAACTTATTTTCTATTCTTACTTATAGTTACTTATAGTAACTTATAGTAACTGGCTCGCGCTGCCAGTAATTACGCCGCAGGATATTAAGGGCACAGACCGTGATCATAAGACATGCCGCGAATAGAAAATAGAATTTAGAAAATAGACATTGCATGTGAACGAAGCCTAAGATATGGATTAATGTTTGCTTATTGGCTTGATTGGATGATTGCATAAGTTATCCTGTTTTTTTAGTTGTCTGAAGAAGTTTTAGAATGCATGGTAGCTTTGTAAACATAATAACAGACATGGTAACTTAATTGCTTCTTACTTATTACTTTTGCAGTGCCAATGAAAGGAATTATATGAGGAGTTTAATTGGACCAATGCGAACGGCCAGGGTGACTGATTACTGGATTGGCCTCTCTGGTATGTTTACCTAATGTGAAGCTCTTGAGTGTCTCTTGTCTTGGCACTCATTTCTATCATCTGCCTATGAAATTTAAGTGATGTTTATTCCTAGATTTGTTATTACATTTAATCAGTGTTGTGTTTCATGATATCTTTTTAGATACAACTGCTGACAGTACAATGAAATGGTCTGATGGCACACTCTTGAGTCAGACAGCTGCAGTGTATAAACCATACTGGGAAAATGGCCAGCCAAAGCCAGTGGCAAACTTGAAGGACTGTGCCTACATACGAATAGGTTAGGATATTTTCATTGTAACTTGATCTGAGGTTAAAATGGCTGAGCTATTAATGAAAAAAATTCCTTGAATCTTTATGATTATTATATGTATATATGTTAAAAGTTCTATCCCTTGAATTAATTGTTGAATGCTGTTATTTGACTGTTCATATGAGTTGCAATGAGGCACTTGTATTCTGGGTATTTGCCCATGGTAAAGATTTCACAATAAATTTTTTACAGCTAATAGATTTGCACAGTGGACGGCTGGATATTGCTACAATAAGAAAGCTTTCATCTGTGAGATTCCAATTTCAAGAAAATTGGTAGCTACTCCAGGTAATAGTCTCTTTCTCATGTACCAGATTGAAATTTTACTGAGTTTATCCATTTGAGAATCTAAATAGCTTTACTCTTGATTTGATGTTAGAGGAAAATTAAAGCAGAAAAATTAGAAGAATAATAAGTATAAGCCATAGTATCTTAAAATAACTTCTTAAACAGAGCAATTTTTCCCAGCTGCTGTAAATATTTCCCAGAAATTGAAATTATTTTTAGGCACTTGTGCCTTTTAGACACTAAATAGATACATAAAATGTATTGATCGAAAGTTGAATGATCAACTCTTTACATGAAATATAAATGAAATTAACATTTATATATATACACACTGTTACAGTGAACGTGACATGTGCTCCCAACTGGCGACTGTTCAAGGGCAACTGTTACCTGTTTGTCACGCAGGAGAAGGTTTACAAGGATGCTGTCGCGTACTGCCAGAGGACACCAGATGGCACGCGGGCTACACTGACCTCAATCTTGGATGAAGAAGAGCAGGGATTTATCAGTAGTGAGTAGTTTAATTTAAGCTTAAATTTGTGGAAATGGCACATTTTCATTCAAACCTGATGGAGAGAAAAGCAAAACACAAGATGAATTCTGGAAATAAGGTCGCAATGTTATATGTTATATATATATATATATTTGGTTGCCTTTTTTTAGTTCAGTGGCCTACAGCCAACAATTTCAAGTTGGGGGTTCTTTGTCTTTGAAAAAAATGAACCAAATTGATAAATAGCATAGAACATAGATTGAATTTTGATTCTGAACAGACCTTTTTTGGTCTTTTTTAAAACCTCTCCCCAAAATAGTAATTTGTTCATATTATCTGTTAAATTCTATGTAGATTGGGTCACTGTTTATGAGTTGTTCCTGTATTGTATTGTATTTCAGACTATCTGACTGGTTACAGCTGGATTGGGTATGATGATATAAAGACTGAGAAGAAATGGCAATGGGTTGATGGAACTGCAGTAAGTATATTCCATGGTTCTGCCTGTCTGTCTGTCTGTCTGTCTGTCTGTCAATCCTGATGAACATAAATAATCAAAAATGCAACCTTTATTTTTGCAGAAAACATGATTTAGTATAGATATATCTTTCATAGTGACCCAACAAATTGGATCATTTGGTTTGATATACTAACTTTGATAGAAGCTAATTAAAGTTTTATGCAAGCTTTACATAATAAAGAATAAATTGTTTGCCACTGAGGTTGGCATATTTTGATGTTGACACCATATTTTAAAGAATGAATGGACTTTTAAAAATCCATCTCAATGTTAGAGAACCAGTCTGTTTAATAATAAAATGTGTATTTTGCCTCTACTACACAGACAACCACATTTACTAACTGGTGGACACCGAGTGAACCCAACAATCAGAACAATGAAGACTGTGCTGAACTACTGGGACCAAATGCTTTTGGGAAAAGTGGAGCCTGGAATGACAAGACCTGTGCTATAAAGAGAGACTTTATTTGCAAATCTCAAGCATGTATGTCAATGTTATTGATTTGATTTGATCTCAACGAAAGCATAGCTTGCATTTTTCACTGCTTGATAAAAACAATGAAAAATGATTACTTCTCTAGTAAGTACCCTGTAGCTAGTGATACATTTGTTTTTATAATTGTATTTATCTGAGTTAACTTTGTTATTTTTCAGATGTTGGTGCTCCCACCACACCACCACCCACAAGTAAGCATTAGCCTTCTATTCAATAAAAATTCATTTCTCTCATATTGTGAAAATTTATCTTCTTCATGAAAAATTCGTAGATCATTTTATTCTTTACATTACCATGATAATTTCGATAGGTATGTAATCTGTGTACTTTTTAAAAATTTTGTTAAAGTAATTCATTCATTTTTTTTATTTTGCTTTTATATATACTACACATTTAAGTCAATGTACATATTTATCATAATGATATGAAAAATCAGTCATGACCACTTACTATTATATTTCATAGCATTAAGATATTTTATTAAAATATAATCAAATCTTCTCCAGGACCATGGAGTCCATTGTGTGGAGCAGGCTGGTTTTATGAATCCAACCTGAATTTTTGCTATCAATTCAACTATGACCTCCAGAACTATGCACAGGCCCGATCAAAGTGTATCGCATTGGGAGGTGACCTGTTAAGTATTGGTAGTGTAACAGAACAGACATATGTTTCAGGTTTGTAATCCATGAAAGTATTCATGTACTAGAATTTGTGAAAAGTGAAAATTTTAAATGTTATTTTGTTTTCTTGTTGTCTTTTTTCATCCAATTATTTATTGTTCAGGTAATTACTGATAAGTTTCTTTGAAAGTTTAATTAAGATGTTAGTTAAGACCGTATTCAGATGAGTCCTCAACTGACTTGATCAGTGCAAGTTTTGCATTTAGAGAAGCAAATATTGTATATCACAGTCACAAGTGTCATTTAAAGGAAATTTAAACTAAAAAATGGGTTCCATTTATCAAAGAAAAGTTCTCAGTTTGTTTAATTTAAATGTCCTTTCCAGCTTTGATATCCCAGCAGACGGGCACTGATTTTTGGCTTGGTGCCAATGATGTGAACAGAGAGGGTGGCTGGGAGTGGTCTGATGGCTCTCCTTTTAGGTACTTCAACTGGAATTCTGGTAGGTGGCAGCAGTGTTTATTCTGATATTAGTGACAATTTTCCCAGTTTATTGAAATTTCATTTAGTCATTGTTTGTAGCTGTTTTATTTTCAATATCTGCATGTTGTAAACTTAAAATAATTTTAGTGATTAGACAGTTCATGTGCTTTTGGATGAAAAAATGCTTTATTTCTGAACGAAACTTTTCATGATACATAAATGCTTAAGATATTTTGTCAAACAAATGGAAACTAGTAGTGGTTATACGTATTAAGAATGATAAATGCATTATCTGTCTCACAGTATGCAGTGACTGAGAATTTAGATTTAAAATTATGATATACCCAGTATATGACTCTACACACTGTATTTTCTTGCAGGGGAGCCGAATAATTTCAGAAGTAGAGAAGACTGTGCTATTATTCTGACTAAGGAAGGAGGGAAATGGAACGACTACAATTGTAACTCCAGGAGTAGATCCTTGTGCAAAAAAAGTGGTTAGTAGATGAAATTTAAACTATAACAGTTACTGTTCAAAATAAACATGCATTAAAATAATTCTATTAAACATTAGATGATACTAATACTAGTAGTCATGTTGAAGTTAAATATTGAATGATTTGGTGCAAGGTAAAAAAAAAATTGGATAATCTGAATATCTTCTTAAACTTTTTCCAGTTCTTCAAACCACCCCACGTCCTGCTCTTGCCACTACCCCAGCTCCAGGTAAGGGAAAGGTGACAGAACTGTTGGCCTATACAATATGGTCTTCAGTAAATCTCACTTCTGGTGTGCTGTTTTGTTGATTTAAAGTTCAGAAACTAATGTCTTTGTATTTTTACTTCCTAATAAATTATTTTGAAGTGACATATAATAATAACAGCTGGAGCATATCTACGTATGAATGAATTAACTGAAATATTTAAAACAGTACATGACATGACACAAGAATGACAATTTTTTCCAGTGGACTGTTCCAGCCCAGGGCCTATGATCTCTGGTGACCATTACATACCAGATAGAGAAATAACTGCCTCCTCTCAGTATGATGCCAACCATGGACCTAACAATGCTAGACTGGACTTCCAGGCAGGAAGTAGGTTGAAAAGTTAAATTAATTGAACAATTCGTAACTTCAAATATGTAAAAAAAACATGTAAGAAATAGACTCTTTGACATATTTATACTGGACTGTGTACAAATTGAATCCAGTATCAAATTGTGTGATGATTTGTAACTTGGAAGAATGGTGTTCTAGCTGGCAAGCCTGTCATCAAATCTGCAGTTGCCCTTTATTTGATAACTGTTGATCATTTTTCAAATTTTCCAAAGAACAAAAGTCAATTACTGTATGTCAGGTATATTTTCATAAAAATTGTGTGAACATCAGGCATACTGTAGTTTTTAAGGAAGCATAGAAAATAAAATTTACATGCATTCATTTCCATTATCTCAGGAACCATGATTCCATTGAACACCCCAAACAAAGCAAACGCCTATGTGAACGTGCCTGGACTGAATCTGATGGGATCTCTGTCTGTTACTTTCAAAGTGAAGACATGCAGGGCTGCCTTTGTGGCACTTTCACCGACCACAAACAGCAAAGATAGAAACAAATATGAAATTGTCATCAACAGGTATATTGTTACATGTATTTATCAACAATAATGTAAGCCTTGAGTTTTTCTAAAGCTTAGTTTTTATTTTTTAACTGGGATGTATTCTTTTCACCCAGTTCACAGATGAATTTAAGGCAGTGCAAATAGTTATGGAGAGAGAAATATGTCATAATAGCAGTGAGTACTATTTTAACAGACTGGATGTCTTCAATCTTTTTCAGTGGCAGTGCTGGGTCAACTACAGTGATCAGGGAGCAGGCAAATGGCCGCAACCTTGGCACCAAGCTGACACCTACAGTCCTCAATTGTAACACTTTCCAGGCTTTCTGGCTAAGTTGGGATGGCGGTCACATTAAGCTTGGCAGTGGGACAACTGTTGGTCAAAATGTCCTGGTGGACTATGCTGACCCAAGTCCATATTCTGTGTCCACTTTGTCAGTGATGACCACTGGGGGAACTGGACAGTGGCAAATCAGTAATCCATACGGTAGGGAATGAAAGAGATTAACAAAATGAAATATGTAATGTTTTTAAACACTATGTGTTAGGTACAGATGTACAACTTCTCTTTACTGGTCTACATATATTTCTACAGAGAGTGACTTTTTATGTTGATAATGCTGTTATCAATGTTGTTTTTCACCTCTAGATCAGTCAGATGTTACGTTTATGCACAGTGATTCATTCAGTTTAACTGTTTTTCAAAAAGAAGATGCACATAAAATATTTGGTGAAATATCAATAAATAATGCCCTATATAACCCATCTGGTCATATTCTAGGTGGCAGAAAAGGAGCCTGGTCTGCCAGATCAAACAATGCTAACCAGTGGATCCAGGCCGACTTTTTGGTGCCAATCACAGTGAATGCTATAGTCACCCAGGGCAGATCTGACTACAGGCAGTGGGTCACCAGGTACAGGATATTATACAGATATGATGATGATTCTCCTTGGAGGTGGTACTATGATCCCCCTGCAACTCTCAAGGTAAGTGTTTACTTTTTTATTGTTTAAGTTTCAAGTTTTTTATTTTTTGTTTGTTTAGGGAAACCTGAAAATTGATGTTTTCCACAATACAAAATGCACTGAATACACCTGGTTTATTGTTTTCAGTTTTCAACCTTTTCAAATTGCCTCACATGTACAACACCATTATTTACCTGTACTACATACAATTATTACCATTAACTGACAGCCACTTATAATTAAGCACTGTTAAATGCACATGGGTAACAAATGCACAATACAAGTATAAACTGCAGGTATTACCTATGTATTTGTAGACCTTCACTGCTAACAAGGACCAGAACACCAAGGTGACCAACACCCTGACCTATCCACTGAAGGCCAGATATGTACGCTTGATCCCTGTAGCATGGAATGGGCACATTTCTATGAGATGGGAAATTTTGGGGTGCAGTTATGGTAAATATTCATTTTCCTTTAAATGACATATATCAGATTAGACATTGGGTCTGTGTTGGAGTGAAATCGTTTTGGTAATTTTTTATTCTTTCATTTTATTTTTTTAACAAAAGATAAAAGACTGTGAAGGTTGATCAAACTTGGATAATGTACTACCCCTTCAGACTAGTTGGTTTGTCCCCCCATCCCCCTTATCAGCACATGCAAAATTGTAAGGGTCTAGTTAAGGAAATATGCTATAACTTTTTCTATGATCCTTATTACAGAGGAGTGCAACCCAGAGGGGCTGGTGAGTGGACCAATATACTCGGCTAACTCTGCTCTGACAGCTTCATCCAAGATAGACAACAACCACCAGCCATTTAATGCACGTCTCAACTCTAACACTGGGTGGTCACCATCTTCCAGTGCAGATACAGAGTACATCCAGATCAATTTTAGTAAGAAAATAGTGTCCTTCTTGTAATAACTATATGGCTCAAGTCAAAATTTGTTTTCTGGCATACTGTGGTGATTCAGAATGTATGTATGAGAGGTAGGCAACTTTATAATAATAATAATAATAATAATAATAATAATAATAATAATCACACTCAAATCAGTTGTATTATACACTGTGCAAGGTGAAATCCTGATATCCTGGACAGATGGGATCGCTGGCTCTGCAGTTTAGTCCAGGTGTTTCCCCAGGAGCTGATCAAGACATGAGAGAAAATAATTAATTAATTGATTAGTGAGTTAAGTAATTAAACATTAAATACATCTTCGTCAGATGTTGGCCCATGAATCATCAATTATTTTGCTGATGAAGTTGCATATATTAATAAGCACTTATCAAAATTAATGAAAAGTTGTCTTTTTCAGACCGCAACTACAGGGTAAGAGGAATTGTCACCCAGGGGAGGAAAGACGTGAATGCTTGGGCATCATCATTTAGACTGCAGTTCACTGAGGATGGAAAAACTTGGCAATTTTACCAGGAACCATATGGCACAACTAAGGTACACATGCATGTGAATACAAACACAAACATATTAATTACCTCAGTATTTTTCTGCATCAACTCACTGCAGAAATCTTTTTGAAAAGTAATATAAGCATTGCTATTTGATGTCTCTTTGATTCATATGATGTTGCAATACTAACAGGTGTTCACAGCAAACAAGGACAAGAATACCAGGGTGTCCAACTGGCTCAAATCTCCGTTCGTTGGCCCAGCAGTGCGTCTCTATCCAAGGGGGACAGCCCAGGTAGCAGTAGGGCTCAGGTTTGATATCCTGGGTTGTTTACCGGGTAAGTTCAGCACAGTGCTGTTTTTCTTGTTTACTTTTTCTGTTTCTGTGTTATGTTTGTGTCATGCGTCTTTTTTGCCTTCTACTTCTTGTAAATGGCATCATTTGCTTTACTAAGATTATAGAAAAAAGTTAGATTCAGAGTATTCAGGCATAATAGTATTTTCTCCCTTTCTTTGGTAGCAGATGCTCTCAAAGAGACATTACAGTGTCAGACTTCTTCAGTCTACATCGATGCCATTTCACTCACAAGTTTCTCCCTTTTCCCTGTAATTGCTGTATAATTTCTTTTGTACATTATGTCAGTATTGCTGATCTGAAATACATAGTAGCACATATCATGCATGCATATATGCATTTTATAAATTTTCATATTTTAGGAGACTGTCAGCCAGTAGCACTGATCAATGGCCCCCACCCCGTCCCTATTAACAGGCTCAGGGCATCCTCCAGCTGGAACAGTAACCATGGACCTTCACGCTCTCTGCTCAATACTGTCAGACAGGGAGGGAAGGTAGGAGCATGGGCCAGCAAAGTGAATGCTGTTGGACATTGGATTCAGGTGAGTGCTTGAAATTCATGATTTTTAGATACAATAATAGAAGCTTGCATGTTCTTAAGTTCCCTTCTTTTCAACACTGCTTACCTCATAAACTTACTTCAAACAAAACAAAAATTGCATAGAAATCGTCATTTTACATAAAAACCATCTTCAGTTGTTCGGGTGTACACATTTTATATACAGGAAGGTATATTAAATTATTTAGTGTCAGACATAAAACTTCATCTAATGTATTTTGATATTTTCCCCATAGGTTGACTTAGGAATCCCATCCAGGATAACAGGTGTGGGCACTCAAGGACGTCAGGATTATAATCAGTGGGTAAAAACATACAGTGTAGCCTACAGCTTTAATGGCACCAAGTGGGTCAACTATGGTGAAGGGGGCAAAAAGAAGGTGAGTCCAACTAATTTTAACCTACTACACTGCCAGCTATACAGTTTTACCTAAAACTTACTAGATTTGAGTCTGAACATTTAGCTCTTGCTTTGTATGTCAGTGATACAAGTGGGTCTGAAACCCGGTCCCTGTTTTGTAGCTTTGAAAATTGAAATGTTTAATGTCTTTACTGCATTGCACATCTGTACTACAAAATGATGCAAAAAGCGACACATTTTGTATGTTTGTAATACCTATTTTATGTTTAAATTTTATTTGCAAGGTGTTCACTGGCAACAGAGACAGGAATACACTGGTGAAGAACTACTTCAAATGGTATCCCATAGCTCGCTATGTTCGTCTCTACCCAGCTACATGGCAGGGACATATGTCTCTGCGTTGGGAAGTGTATGGATGTCCAAGTATGTTCCTTTAACACTGGAAAAACTGATTTATTATTACCATCTGATTTTAATAATAAATTCTCCTTATAACTAACTGATAAAAAGCTTTAACGAATTTTTTGAAAATGTCTTCAACATTTAACAAATATGCCATGAATAACTTTAATTCATACAGTCTTCACAGTGCACCTTTGGAAAGCATGCAGCTGCACGTTGGCTGGGTTGTCTTTAAATAGTGAATACATGTATTATAACACTTATCTGTTACCTTTTCTTAGGTCCAAGTGCCTCGCAATATATGGGATGCTTCAATGACAAGCAGACAGACAGAGATCTGGCTAATGGCATTCTGAAAGGTCGTTATGTGGGTACATGGTTCTGCACCAGACACTGTTATGAGACTGTAAGTGTTATACTGTTGCCACTTGCCTACCTGATGGTCTTTTTTTAAACCTGATATTAATCAATTTTTCAATATTCTATGAAATGCCTGGCAGAAAAATTATATTCTTGATATGACCATTTTGTATGGGATGGTGGCAGTAAAACTTTTACTTTTGTTTTTCATTTGGTAGGGCTATGTTTATGCTGCTCTCCAAGGAGGAAATACGTGTTTATGTGGTAACTCGTATGGTAAACATGGTCCCAGCGCCATGTGTAATAAGAAATGTTCCAACAACAAGGACATGTGTGGTGGCAGCTATGTAAATTCTGTGTGGTCCACTGGTTTAGGTAATTACCAGTTTTTTGTCAATAGTCTAGCTGTTTATTGTCATAGACAACCAGTTTGGAGGACTTGTTCTGAATTGTACTTACTATTAAGCAGCAAGGTTTCAAATGTACCCATGCATTTGTGTGCACATATAACAATCTAACAATTAACCTAGTTCAGAGTGAAAAAATTATTACAACCAGCTTGGAATAAAATGAATTGACTTAATATCTGTTTTTGTCAAATTTCTCTGAAATTATCATATGATCTCTTTTTCCAGCACCTCATGCTGAGCGCTGTGGTGACGGCTGGACAGAGTTTGGTGACAGCTGCTACCAGGCCAGCACTACAAAGGTCACCTGGCCAGATGCCAGGGCTGCCTGCCAGAAACTAGGTGGTGAACTAGTGTCTATACAAAATGCTGCTGAACAGGCTTTTGTCTCAATCTTTGTCAGAAATGGTAATTCATATATTTGTTATATGTGTATGTTGTATAGTATTTTGTGCCCTGATTATTGTCTATAGCTTTGATACGTGGATTGCTTTGATGTTTTATGTTTACACTCTATTTTCCACTATAAATCTATAATTATTATTATGGTAGTGACTGTCTGGTATGTGGATATACAAAGGGTGTTTTAAATAATCCAGAGAGATACAAATTAAAACAGATGAACTAAATTTCAAAGTGTGATCCATGTGAATTCTCCCCCTTCGCCCCCTAAAAACTCTAAATTAAGATAAAAACAGCTTGTTATTTGTCATTATTATTACTTTAATTTAGCAAAAGTACCAATGTGGAATGGCTTCAATGACCTCCAGCAGCAGATGAACTTTGAGTGGTCCAGCAGTGCTCCTGTCACCTATACCCTGTGGAACACCAACCAACCAGACAACAACAGAGGACGGAAACAAGATTGTGTTTTAATGGTTGTAAAGGTATGTAGATTTTTTTATTATTCTTCTTAGTATGTTTGATTTTTTGTTTGTTTTTTTCTGTTATATTATGAGGTAAGCATTCATTTGTTTGTTTGTTTTTGTTCAAAAGACCACACATGATATACATTGAATTTTTTTAATTAAAAATAGTTATTATGAATGTTGATATTGTTAGGAACATAGGTATTGTTGAGGAAGCCTTAAATTCAGAGACTGGTGTCTAGACCTTTGTATGCATTAATTTGATGTCATTTAAACTGAATTTTTTTTTCAGTTTTGTTATTTATTTAATCAACATAATGAGAACTTTTCACCATTTTTCTTCAGGATGGTTCTTGGGATGATGTGGTTTGTGATGTGCCAAATGCAGGTTATGTGTGTGAGAAAGGAAAGGAAGTGTTTGACTCACCTAGGACCACACCTACACCAAAGGGTTGTGATGATGTAGGCTATCAGGAAATTTGTTTCCTTAAGATTGCTTTAAGGTCTTTAACAAAATTATGCATTGCATTTGTATGCAGTCTTTCAACAAATAAAGATAGAGGCTATTAGTAACACATACTGCATGTGTGAATCCATTTGGTATTATTATTGCTTTATTTGCTTTATGTTGTACATGTATTTTAGGGTTGGAAAGCATACTCATACTCTTGTTACTACTTTGTGCCATTCCTGAGAAACTGGGCTAATGCTCAAAGATACTGCAAGAACTTTGGTGCTACTTTAGTTAGAGTTAATGACAAGTAAGCTTGTATTTTTTCTTTTTTCGCTATGGTAATTACTCTCTAGCAACCAGTTTCATTTCAAGTTATGTTACAAAACATCTTAATCCTCCTGTTTGGATGTTTTAATGGTACATGTGAGAAGGAGTTCCTTATTTTTCATAATTTCATGTGTGGAATGAGCATGTATGTAAAATTGATAAATTTTCTTTTCAGCAATGAGCAGGCTTACCTGACCAGTCAGTTAGGAAGTTCTTTTAGTACTGGTGAAGTATGGACAGATCTTAGTGACAGTGCCACCCCTGGGACATATAAGTGGAGTGATGGCTATTCTTCCATTCCATATACAAATTGGGCAAAGAACCAACCTGGTGAGTACAAAGAGACACACGTATACATATACTTAAAGTCTACATGTAGTGACTGCAATGAAAACATCTTTGTCTGATATAGTGTTCAAAACCTGTGCTGACACGCAAAGCAAAAGCATGATTGGGCCATGAACCTGCATTGCAGCCCTCATTTGAATTGTCCTCTAAAGCTTCTTTACAGGGTTGCTTCTCAGTGTTAAAAACACTGCAATAATTAAGTTGCTACCTATAAGCATTGGTGCAAGAACTGCATGGACTTTATATAGCCTCAACTAGCTTAATTGTAATTTTCTCTAAAATAATGATAGAATTTTCCAAATCCTTTTTCCAGATGACCGCCAGGGCCAATGTGTTGTTATGGGAACCAAACTTAATGCTGGGTTATGGTATGACCGTTTGTGTAGGTACAGTCGTAACTTTATATGTGAGAAGACCAGGAAAGGCTGGACCACACCCAAACCACCCACCACCCCTCTGTACCAGGGCTCGTGTCCAGCCGGCTGGAGTGACATTGGGGATATCTATTGCTACCAGGTTAAGATCAGAGATTTTCAAGTTTATATTAAGTTTCTCATGTGACATATATTATTATTATTTTCTCTGGATATTTTTTCCTGTACTTATCTATGAATTATGAATTAATAATTGCTATTTATTATTCTTGGAGATGCATTCACTATGTTCTTTTTATGAATTCAGTGAAAACTTAAATACTGGTGTGTGGGCACATGACATAAAGAGTAGTCAGAACTTTTTGCCTATTGAGCCTTTACTTCTATGAATTAGTTAGCATAACAAAATTTTGACAGGACCAATAATTATTAAATATGAGTGGTGACAAAATCCCAGAAGAGGTTGGATTAAAACTGAAAACTGCTATGAATCTTTAACATATTTTTCCATCATTATTATTATTATTATATTTATTATTATTATTTAGTTGAATGTCCAGCCTGTAACCTACCAGAAGCGCTGGCCAGAGGCCAGAGATGACTGTGTGGACAAGGGAGGAGATCTGGCCAGTTTTCATAATGCCACCCAGGTGGAGCAGTTGTGGAGACAGTATATGGTGTAAGTAGATGTCAGAGTGTTGTAATTATTCACGATTTACAAATTAGTAATAGCATTGATGACAGAGCATGGAAGAATAAAATAGCACTTGGAACTGGAAACTGAGTGCGAATTTTTTTTTTTTTTTTTTTGTGCATAGACAAGCATGTGTTGAATAAAACAGGAATCACTCTTTACTTCTAAAAACTTCACCTGATAACATTTCATTAAAATATATACACTGTAGCAAATCTGAAAGCATATATTTGTCCATTTTTCAGGGCAGAACCTGGCAACTACAACTTCTGGATTGGTCTTAATAACAGAGATACTAACAAAGGTACTGTAGGTGGTGGTATGGTAGTTTTACTTTTTATATGAAGTGTTAGTGCATACAACAATTAATGATATATTGGAAATGTTTTATATGAGTTCATATGGCACAGTTCGCAGTGTTTAAAACCTACTTGTATTTTACTTCTATGCCCCTCTTTTTCAAGGCTACATCTGGAGTGATGGAACAGCCCTGCAGTACACCCGCTGGAACAAAGGCGAGCCCAACAACTGGCAGGGCACAGAGAATTGTGTGGAGATGAACAAAGCCACTGGATTATGGAATGACAGACGCTGTGATGCTACCAGGAACTGGGTTTGCAAGCTGAAAAAAGGTGAAGCCAATAGGCAGTGGTTGGATTTATGTCACATTCAGGCCTGTGGCTAGCAAAGGAGGGTTTTTTTTTTGAAAAATTGGACCTTTTTACTGTGAAACCTATACATGCGTCAGTGCTGTTATAGATCCTAGATGCGATTTTTATTCAATTTTCTAGCCAAAATGACATTCAGTCATTTAAACCCTCCAAATCCTACTCCCACCCCCATTTTTTGCCTATGGGCCTGGCTTGACATTGGTTATGTACTGTGCAAAGGAGTTTTATAATGCGTGGAAGCATCTTTATCAAAAGCAGTGTTTGTCCATTTTGGTTGCACTGCATGGGAATGAATAAAGAATTAGAAAGGTATTATTGTACATGGTGAAAACTAGCATAGCCTGACACAGGAACTCTCTGATGAAGAATGTGCTCATTTGTTTCTAGGTGTTACTCCAAAAGTAGTTATCACAACTCCTGCTCCACAACCAGGTAAGGAATAAGAAATAACTGATCTAGCTTATATTGACTTTTATGAAATTATGACATGTGCACAATTTTATTAGAACCATTCATCACATTAATTTGTATAATGCCATTAGACAATGTATAATATTGAGATAAAATGTTACTGTTCAATCTTCACAATTTAGTCGATCAATAGTTTCAAACTAGAACAAAAGTGTAAATTCAGTTATATGTGATATTTGAACAGAGGGAATATGTGGCTCCAATGACTGGATCAAGTATAAAGGACAGTGCTACTACTTCAGCAGTGGAGTGAATGATGGCAGTAAGGACTGGTATGATTCCAGAGATTTCTGTAAAGCTCAGGGAGCAGACTTGGCCACAATACACAATCAAGATGAGCAGAACTTCCTTCAGGGACAGGTAAAATTCTGACTAAAATACCACCATATATTATGTACAGACAAACAAACAAACAAAATCTTAAGGATCTTAAACATATTTGCTATAAGTAAGGAGTCAGCCAGTTGTAGTAGACTCATGGTTACTAATCTAATGTTGGACCAAAAATGCCCAAATTGAAAAAGCTTCATCTGCTTTCTGAGGAGAAAACAAGCACTGAAGGCATGTTTATGGTTTGAAGATAATGAAAAACATATGTATAAAGTATGTTTAATTTATTTCCATCATCCCTTCTCAGCTTTTCAACACCAGTCGGCAGTACATGTGGATTGGTCTAAATGAGCTGGACAGTACAGATGGATACAAGTAGGTTGATTCCCATATTTGTGTTAGAAAGAGGAATACATCAGCAGTAAGATTCTCTGTCTAAATATAGTTTTGATTTTCAATTTTATATCTTCTCCTTGCTAAGAAGTATGAGATTCATTAACGAGATCAAATGAAATACAAGTTTTTTCTTGTAAAGCCTTCTTCATCTATTTTCTTGATCAGTTTTACTTGGCTGGTTTGCAAGGAGTGAGGTCAAATTACAGTGACCTCTTTCTGAATAGCTTCTATCATCAATTACTCCCTCTCTTCTCAGAGTAATGAATCGAATATGCACATGCAATCTGTGCAGGTATCCTACAAAACAGTTTTATACTTGGCATGAAATACTGGGTATTGTTCATCTCAAATGTTGATCTTTTATTTTTTTTCCATTACGGTCACATTTATTAGTACATGTTATTATCCAGGTGGGCTGATGGTTCCGCGGCAAATTACTTCAACTGGGGACCTAATGAGCCTAATGATTATGGTGGTGAAGAAAAGTGTGTTGCCTTCTATATTCAAAACACTGGCACTGGTGGTTTTCTTGGGAGAGGTATATTTTGATTCAATTCAATTCATTTGTGTGGTGTTTTTTATATGGTCTTGTGGCCAATTAAGAAATTTTTACAGTTGGGTTTTTGTCTGTCATATACTAAAAGGAATGCTAAATCACTGTTAATGACACTTTTTTGTTTTTATTATATGCATAAATTTTTTTGTATAGGAATCAACTGATTCTGAGCGTGAATGTATGTTATAATATTTTTCATAAAATATGGTGCCTCTCGTATCAGGTGAATGGAATGATGCCAGATGTGGAGTCAGAAAGGGATTTATCTGTAAGAAACCAGAGAATGGTGTTGTTGCCACCCAGCCACCCACTCCCCCAATCCCTGCCAGCTGGGGTTGTCCTGTTGGCTACTCAAGCTTTGGCAACAAGTGCTACAAGATCTTCACTGATAACAACATGAACTGGACTGCAGCTAAATCCTTCTGCCAAGGCCAAAGTGTCAATAATATTCATTTTGATTTGGTATCCATTGCTGATTTTGATGAGCAAAGTAAGTGATTATCACATTAGTACATTGCATACATTAAGATACAGCCTCTGTGTGTGTGTGTGTGTGTGTGTGTGTGTGTGTGTGTGTGTGTGTGTGTGTGTGTGTGTGTGTGTGTGTGTGTGTGTGCATACTAATAAGAGAGAAATTTATTAGCATTTACAGCATTACCTGTTAGTAATAATGTGATGTTACTACCAGTGAGCATTTGAAATTAATAATAAGCAATATATACAANGTGGATAGGCAGTGGTTGGATTTATGTCACATTCAGGCCTGTGGCTAGCAAAGGAGGGTTTTTTTTTTGAAAAATTGGACCTTTTTACTGTGAAACCTATACATGCGTCAGTGCTGTTATAGATCCTAGATGCGATTTTTATTCAATTTTCTAGCCAAAATGACATTCAGTCATTTAAACCCTCCAAATCCTACTCCCACCCCCATTTTTTGCCTATGGGCCTGGCTTGACATTGGTTATGTACTGTGCAAAGGAGTTTTATAATGCGTGGAAGCATCTTTATCAAAAGCAGTGTTTGTCCATTTTGGTTGCACTGCATGGGAATGAATAAAGAATTAGAAAGGTATTATTGTACATGGTGAAAACTAGCATAGCCTGACACAGGAACTCTCTGATGAAGAATGTGCTCATTTGTTTCTAGGTGTTACTCCAAAAGTAGTTCTCACAACTCCTGCTCCACAACCAGGTAAGGAATAAGAAATAACTGATCTAGCTTATATTGACTTTTATGAAATTATGACATGTGCACAATTTTATTAGAACCATTCATCACATTAATTTGTATAATGCCATTAGAGAATGTATAATATTGAGATAAAATGTTACTGTTCAATCTTCACAATTTAGTCGATCAATAGTTTCAAACTAGAACAAAAGTGTAAATTCAGTTATATGTGATATTTGAACAGAGGGAATATGTGGCTCCAATGACTGGATCAAGTATAAAGGACAGTGCTACTACTTCAGCAGTGGAGTGAATGATGGCAGTAAGGACTGGTATGATTCCAGGGATTTCTGTAAAGCTCAGGGAGCAGACTTGGCCACAATACACAATCAAGATGAGCAGAACTTCCTTCAGGGACAGGTAAAATTCTGACTAAAATACCACCATATATTATGTACAGACAAACAAACAAACAAAATCTTAAGGATCTTAAACATATTTGCTATAAGTTAAGAGTCATCCAGTTGTAGTAGACTCATGGTTACTAATCTAATACTGGACCAAAAATGCCCAAATTGAAGAAGCTTCATCCACTTTCTGAGGAGAAAACAAACACTGAAGGCATGGTTTTTATGGTTTGAAGATAATGAAAAACAAATATGTATAAAGTATGTTTAATTTATTTCCATCATCGCTTCTCAGCTTTTCAACACCAGTCGGCAGTACATGTGGATTGGTCTAAATGAACTGGACAGTACAGATGGATACAAGTAGGTTGATTCCCATATTTGTGTTAGCAAGAGGAATACATCAGCAGTAAGATTCTCTGTCTAAATATAGTTTTGATTTTCAATTTTATATCTTCTCCTTGTTAAGAAGTATGAGATTCATTAACGAGATAAAATGAAATACAAATTTCTTCTTGTAAAGCCTTCTTCATCTGTTTTCTTGATCAGTTTTACTTGGCTGGTGTGCAAGGAGTGAGATCAAATTATGGTGACCTCTTTTTGAATAGCCTCAATTGCCAATTACTCCCTCTCCTCATAGAGTAATAAATTGAATATCTGATGCACATGCAATCTGTGCAGGTATCCTACAAAACAATTTCATGCTTTCCATGAAATATTGTTCATCTCAAATGCTGAACTTATATTTTTTTACCATTACAGTCACATTTATTAGTACATGTTATTATCCAGGTGGGCTGATGGTTCCGCGGCAAACTACTTCAACTGGGGACCTAATGAGCCTAATGATTATGGTGGTGAAGAGAAGTGTGTTGCCTTCTATATTCAAAACACTGGCACTGGTGGTTTTCTTGGGAGAGGTATATTTTGATTCAATTCAATTCATTTGTGTGGTGTTTTTTTTATATGGTCTTGTGGCCAGTTAAGAAATGTTTGGAGTTGGGTTTTTGTCTGTCATATACTTTAAAGGAATGCTTAATCACTGTTAATGACACTTTTTTGTTTTTATTATATGCATAAATTTTTTTGTATAGGAATCAACTGATTCTGAGCGTGAATGTATGTTATAATATTTTTCATAAAATATGGTGCCTCTCGTATCAGGTGAATGGAATGATGCCAGATGTGGAGTCAGAAAGGGATTTATCTGTAAGAAACCAGAGAATGGTGTTGTTGCCACCCAGCCACCCACTCCCCCAATCCCTGCCAGCTGGGGTTGTCCTGTTGGCTACTCAAGCTTTGGCAACAAGTGCTACAAGATCTTCACTGATAACAACATGAACTGGACTGCAGCTAAATCCTTCTGCCAAGGCCAAAGTGTCAATAATATTCATTTTGATTTGGTATCCATTGCTGATTTTGATGAGCAAAGTAAGTGATTATCACATTAGTACATTGCATACATTAAGATACAGCCTCTGTGTGTGTGTGTGTGTGTGTGTGTGTGTGTGTGTGTGTGTGTGTGTGTGTGTGTGTGTGTGTGTGTGTGTGTGTGCATACTAATAAGAGAGAAATTTATTAGCATTTACAGCATTACCTGTTAGTAATAATGTGATGTTACTACCAGTGAGCATTTGAAATTAATAATAAGCAATATATACAATTTGGACTCATTTAGACAAGGATTTCGTAATATGTTCATTAATATTTGCAGTGGCTGTAACCAGTTTGCTGAAGAACTACAAGGGTAAAATCTCCCATGTCTGGATTGGACTGAGTTATGAAGGGACAAATGGTCAAAGACAAAAGCAGTACTATTGGTCTGATAATTCCCCACTTAGATTCACCTACTGGGATAAAGGAGAGCCTAATGGGCAAGAAAAGGTAAATCAATTACTTATAATTTTCTCTACTTTTAAGTCTGATGTGCAACATGTAGAGAAATAAGTCTGATGTGCAACATGTAGAGAAGAATTATAAACTGTTCAGATACTGGTTCAAAAGCTGACAAAGTTAGTAAGCAGATTTGCTTGATGAATTGATGAGGTTCTGAAAATGTAATCGTATTTTAACACAACAGTCATTGGAAGTGAATACATGAACCTTCATACTTCATTGTGTTCCATAGGAACCTTGTGTTGAGATGTATATTGATGAGGCCCGTGCTGGCCGCTGGAATGACAAAGCCTGCAGCCCTGCCAGATCTTTTATGTGCTCCACTAGGCGGAGTAAGTTCTCTCAAGATTTTTTATTACAGAATATATAAAATTAAAGAAAAGATGGCAATAGATGTGAAAAAAAGCATAAAACAAAATAACAAAATTAATGAAAAGTATATTCCTAGCTCATTTTGAACTTTTTTCATCTATAAGCCATTTAGAAAAAAAGTTTTACAGTTTTTTTCTTTTTTTTGCAAGGGTTTTGTTTGTTTAATTAACTTTACAGTTTTTGAGAAAAATCTCTCCGTAATGGTGTACAGATGATACCCATACATTTTAATCACTACCATACTTCAGATTCAAAATGGCCTGTGTCTACACCCTCCCAGAAGGCTTGTGCTGATGGCTGGTACCCTTACGGCCAGAGTTGCTATCTTGTGGTCCAGCAGGCAATGGGATGGGACCAGGCCAATGCTGAGTGTAAAAACCGCCAAGGAACTCTGACTTCAATTACCAGCATATTTGAGCAGGGATTCATTTATAGCTACAAAAACAGTATTGTCAAGTATTCTAGGCCCTTGTGGCTTGGCTTACATGTAGGGAGACTGGACCATGTAAGTATTCCTACTTTCATGTTTTAATTTACGCTGGATATGTAAATAATGAGGTGTACCTCATAAGAAGGACAACTCTTAAATATCAATTGACATTTTCATTTGTGAACTGAAAATTTGCAATAGTAGTCTTTGATCTTCATTGAAATTGGGATATGATTGAAGGCAAATGAAATATTAAAGAGTGTAAACAAATCTTATATTTGAAGGAGAACTTTATTATTTTTTTTAGCGTTATTCCTGGGCTGATCAGCGTCCTGTACTCTACACCAACTGGGATACCAATGAGCCATCTGAAAAGACTCCTACTGAGGGCTGTGTCATGTTCAATAACAGTGGCAAGTGGAGTGATGTTGCCTGCAACCAACAGCTCAGTTTTGTATGCAAGAGTACAGGTGAGCAAACAGCCATGTTTGATTGTTATGAGGATGGACTTATATAATCATAAAGTACTCCAAATGTTATAAGGTAATAGTACTGGATTTATTTCATTGTACATATACCACATCATCTGATTTAGTACAGCAGCATGTATATTATTGCAAAAAGAAAAAAACTACTGTGAATTGGATAATGTCACTTTTCTCAAGATGATAGCATTATTCCAAAAATGTATTATATATGAAAAACAAAACTCTGTATATATAAATATTAGGATAAGTGACCGATAACTAAAATTTTATTTCATTCGTATATTTTTGTCCTGATATTAAGGTGCTACTGTACCAGCCACGTGTGCCAACACAGCAGACAAAGCCTGCTCCAGTGCCATCTGTTCGTAAGTTAGAGAGTTTGAACTTTTTGTCTTTCTCAGCAGTATCACATTGTACAGTTTAAAGCTTGCAGATGTGGTTTAAACACGTAATTTAAATGTAGAACCTTTTAAGTGTACACATACATCAATAGTGATGACATGCTTATTGTTGAAAAAGTAGACAAATATGCTTTTGAAGTGACTTTTGGTTTATTAATGGTAGCATAGTATTAATTACAAATGAAGGATATGTCATAGATCAATTGTTGAAACTGGTATTTTTCATATTCAGTTATTGGAGAAGATTGAGACACCAATTAAAATACACAGCTAGCTCTTTCAAAAAGTTAATTTAAATGAAAAAGAAAAACTTGATGTCTTAGTCAGTAAAAAAACCTTGACTACATGTGGTCATTAAATTATTTCATCTTTTGTTTTATTTATTATTGACAAATAATACAGTTTCATGCTGACTAAAAAGCTTTATGTAAAGACTATATCAACATCAGTAGTAACTATAGATCACCAAAGACATTGGTTGAACAATATAGCTATTACTTAAAGAAACTGAAAATAATAATTAATTTATTGCATTCTGTAGCATTAATTTAGAGCATACTGTGTTGTCTGTTCAAGATTCCAATGTCCATCTGGATGTTCTGCTTCCACTGCCTCAGTGTGGGGCACAGGAGTTTACACAGACGTAAGTAATGACAGTATATGGTAATAAGCTTTGTTTGACAATATACATTGACCTAATATTGGAACAAACATTTGGTGATAATGTGTCAACTGTATAAACATTCTCTCCTTTTTGATAGATGATTTGAAATGATTTGTTTGAGATGATAATTTATTGATTGATTGATTTTGTTAGGAAGAGGATAGACTTTCAAATCTTGTATGTGGCATATCTAAATTTGTTTTTTACAAAATGAGAAATAATGATAAATAAAAAACAAATGAATGAATTAAAAATGAAAGGTATTTTATGAAGGTCTATGTAACACAAAATTTGACAAAAAAATGATTCATGTCTTTCTTGGATTAGGATTCTTCCATCTGCCGGGCTGCAATCCATGATGGCCGTATACCAGCTTCTGGTGGACAGGTGACTATATCCAAAACCAGGGGAGGAACACGCTTCAGTGGATCAGTGAAAAATGGCATCACGAGCAAAAGGTTAAAAAAAATTAATGTTTAAGTGTACTAAGATCTCATTTGCTATTGGGATGTGTTAATTTAATTGTTTGAATAATGACAATTTCTGTACACAACAGTTTAGTTCATAATGTATAATTTTCAGTTCATTGACATCTGCATGGGGTTTCTTTTGATGTAATAAAATAATCTCATATTCTTTTAGTTATGGGGCATGGCCAGGAGCCTTTGAATTCCTTGATCCAGGTAACCTTCACTATGTTTATCTATTATTTTATTCACAGAAACTTCTTCACAAACATATTTTAAATCTTAGCATATTAGAGCTGTATACCAAACTATATGAAAAGATTAAAATGATAAGGTATAAGATTTAGAAGCTAAACATAATCTGCACTTGACCAATTCAGACCAGCCACCATACACCCTGCCTCCCATGAATGGCACCTGCCCCGACACAGCAGACTGGGTACCCTACAGCAATGGCTACTGCTACCTCTTCAGGACAGATGCTTCTCGTAGCTGGTCAGAGGCTGATTATGAGTGCTCTCGACTTAATGGCAAACTAATTACTTTACATAGTGAAGATGAGACCAGTTTTGTTGTGGCACATTTCTCAGTGAAAACAACAGGGAGCTCATGGGGAGGACTCGTCAAAGACTTGAAAGGTACGAGGCAAAGAAAATTGTGGATCAATCTCCCTATACTGGAATGGTATTGATCTCCTGTCAGTCTGTCTTACTGTCTGTGAATGTTATCTTTATTAGCCCCAGTTTTAATTTTATACATATGAAGATATTAACATGTGCTTAGTTCTGCTCCCTGAAATCCTTTATTTTTAATTACTGCATTTAATGTTTGGTTATTTTAAAAAATATTATAAATAATACATTATGCAGTTTTTAGTGACCATCTCCTACAGTCTTCAATTAACTTTACTGCAACTTTACACATACTCATTCATCATCTTCAAATTGTTTTATTCATAATGTAGTGTATTTGTGACATGTATGGATGGTTTTCAATGACTTTCTTAACACATACACATTTTGCTGTCTGTAGGTGGTTGGGGCTGGAAGAGTGGAGAACCTCTAGATTATGTGAACTGGAATGATGGTGAGCCGAATGACTATCGTGCACCTGATAGTGATGAGCGTGAAAACTGCATGGAATTGGTGCGATCAGGAAAGTGGAATGACCTCAACTGCTTTAACAAGAGAGGTTATGTTTGCAAGACATCACAAAGTAAGACAATTTTACATAATTTTCATGGAATATTTAATATTATATATGGAGAAGTGAGTTCCAATGTCAACTTCTAGGCTGTTTTTTTTTTCTTACAATTTTTATTTTACATCATTTGTAAGTATATCAGTGACACTGTTTTTTTTAATAACATGCACAATATTATGAAACTGATTAAAACCTTGATTAAAACCTCAGTCTTAAAAAAGCTGTTCATTCTGCTGGAAAGAATTTGACTGATAAAATAATAAATTTGCTATTACAGTCAGTGTATCTGCCCTGAGCACCCTTCCTGTTGGTGTGGCTGGTCCAGTAACTTCCACCCTGTCCACCTTACCAGGAGAAGCAGTGGATGCTAATGGAGGAGTCAATGGCTCAACAAGCACAGCAGGCCCCAGTACCACCCCGTGTCCTCCAGGAGACAGAAGCTGTGGAGTAAATGTGAACCCAGGAAACAATGGAAATCAACGTAAGGATTTTAATACTTAAAATTACCATTTGAAGAGATGATGGTTGATAATACCAATTTGAAGGTTCTGAAGATCTTGTGTTCACTGCTGTGGGGCAAACCATATGGCTATATTCTCTGTAGTTGTTCATTTAATTAATACATGAGTATTAATGTTCAGTGTAAGAATTTGTAGCAATATCCTTATAATAATCCATAATAAGTCAGTAAAACTATTAAAGGTTAAAATGTTCTCAGTCCAGGTCTATATATTATGCCCTTATTTTTTGGTTTAATATCAGCTCAAGTGGACTCCACGCCAGAAGCTCAGGTTGCTCCCGTCCCAAGTCCTACTTCTGTGTCAGTTGGGGAAGTGGCAGGGATTGTCATAGGAACACTAGCCGTGGTGCTGATTGCTGTCTTTGCCTTGTTTTACTTCTATCGTTCTGGAAAACTACAGGGACTGAAAACAAACACAGCAGGTGGAAGCATAGCCTTTGATAATCCAGCAAATGTTAGTTATTCGAAAAATGATAATTCCTTGAGTATTGGTTCACCAGGATCTAGTGACGATGCATTTGAAAATCCACTCTATTCCCAAGCATAATAGTAATAATGATAATAATTGCCTATAAAGAGGGAAGTGGCTGTGTCATCTTGCACATTGTAATTATGATCATGCAGGTTCATGCCTATTAATATATATACGTAAAAATTTTTAAAAAACTACATAAAAATGCTAAATGTCTCATCAATCATTTTATAGTGATATTTATTTAGTTATTTATGAGTTCATTTATTTATTACAAAACCATTAAGGGTAATTATAGGAGATGTGTCAGAATGGATTGGTCACGTTTTTATCATGCATCATCTTCTTACCAATTTTGAAAAGATTTATATAGTATAAGCTTTCTTAAATTTTTTATGATAAATACTTGGAAGGCAATGTTGGATTTCTGTAGAAATGATGCTGTTAAATGATTGATTTTAATGGAAAATGGTGCAAAAGTACTTGAATTAGACCCCAAAAGAACTTCTCAGTTCTGACTGACTTGTATATTTATTGGTTTTAACATTGATTTCATTCAAAGACTTACATGATATTAGAATTTGAGGCATAGAAATTGTTCTTATGTACTAAATTTAATTTTTTAATTTTTTTTCTTATAATTTTCTAATAGATATTACTGAAAGTGAAAAATACTCTTTATCAGGGTATCAGGGTTGTACAAAAATTGCTTTCTGAAGTACTATGATTGTTGAGACGACTGCTTGAACGTAATAGTCTGTACATATCTTGTGATGTTACTGCATTAAAAGTGATTGCTTTAAAATTGGACAATACTATATACTGTATGAAATAAAGACAAAAATTAATTAGACAAATATTTGTCTGGTTTCTTCACCTTAGGGTATTTTTCTGTTTTTTTTTTTTTTTTTTTTTTTTTTTTTTTTTTTCAATTTTCCCCTAACAGTCATATTTAAAAAATGAACGCCCCCCCCAAAAAAAAAACAAAAAAAAAAAAAACAAGGTACTCTATAAAAACCACACTAAAATCTAAGACCCCATTCCCATGGATTTAAGATCGATCTATCCCTGTGGGGAGTCTCACTTGATTACTGTCAGCTTAGCCGGCTTAAGCGTCTGTCCCGCCAACTAAAAGCTGTAAGGGGGTAATCAACTATGGTGCGTGCTTGGCTGACTGCAATTTAGCGTGAACCCCCAGGGAGTTAGGTCGATCTAAATCTAAATCTCTGGATCGATCTAAATCTCTGGGAATGCACCCTTAATAAATCTAAGTTAACCAAATATTTGGTTACTATACACTAAATTATGCTCATCATGATCTTTGATGACTGTATTTCAGTGAAATATTCGGGGGCATCTCGATATGAAGGTTCATTGGTCTAACAAAAATCTTATGCACGTGCATCTGACTAACTTTATTTCCAGTACCAGTACACTGTACACTTAATTCATGCATTATTTTGGACTATCACTACGGCCCTGAAATATCAATGTAAAACTGAAAGTTGAATTTTTGATTCATGTCGATTTACCAACCCAAAGGTACTCTGCGAAAACATTACAATTAAATTACAAAATCAATGTTATTGACAAATAAACGGAATATTTGTAAAGTGAAGAATAAAACAAAATTCTAGGTACTATATAGATAAATAAACAACATTGTCCTCTCAGGCCAATAATGCTCTCTCAGGAATTGGATAACGGTCAGCACAGATTACCTACATGCTTACATGCGGAGGGCCTATTCAGAAAAAATTAATTAATAATAATATTTACACATATAGTATATACGCCCTTTTTAGTCCTACCTTACAGATCTATAGACCAAAATTGAAAATACAAATTAATGCTTGTAAATACCCGGTAGTTCTCTCTTTAATACATTATGTACGTTTTAAGATGTTACGGTAATAACTTGGAAATTTAGTCGGTCTTAAAAATTTTGTTGGATGACGATTCTCCGCCGACATAAGTTTTCTTTCACTTTGAAATTTTTGTCAAACTTAAAAACCGGCCTCTCGATAATTTTGAAAAGTTTGTCACCTAATATGGTCGTGTCGGATTCATGCATTTTAAAATATTAATTCATTTTTAATAATTCATTTTTAAGTGATGAAAATTACTAGTATTAATTGTTTTTTGTTATAACCATATTAAGACAAAAGTGGAAATGAAAATAACCATCCTCCCTCAGGGTGCCTCCAAAAATCAGTCACTAGCTTTATTAAATTATCCCATAGAACTACTGTGCACATACTGAATGATGAGCTTAATCAGTGCACCTCAGTGCCACCTATCGGAAAATCCCGCATTCACAAAAATCAACATGGGAAGAAGTCGGAGTCGGAGTCGATCTCCAAGAAGGGGTTAGTAAAATAATCACTCTGTTTTGGGACTTGAAATAAAAAAACATGTCTGTATAGTCATAATACCTACATAAAGTAGCAATTCATCCTGTAACCACTGGTTTTATTTCAAGTCCACAAACAGCTTCACTCTTTGTCCGAATTTTATCGGCCATTTCTAATTTCTAAAGCCAACGATGCCGGTGTGGCAGGAATGGAAGTGCGCAAGGAACCGTAGTCCGTTTCCCATTACATCGTACAAGTAACATTTTCTTTTTATATAATCCATATTCTAACCCCAATACCCCAACTAACCCTAACCTGTACCAATCATATAGCCTATAGGACCCCGGACTTCATTCTACGGACTACCATTCCTGTCACACGGGTAGTTAACGTTAACAGTACTCCCACATACTCTAAAATTTAATTTATTGATTTTCAATGTTTTTCCAAATTAAGTTTTGAAGTGACTTTAAGCAGTGTCTCTGCTATTCAAATAAATTAGTTTGGTAATTTACTTACCCGTTCTTAGATGTTTTAACAAGAAACTTGGATCACCTCAAGACTGTTCTCACTAACATGTTCTAATATGACGGGAGGTCTGAAGAGAGCTGATTTCGTTGCAGGGTGAAAATTTGCTGTAATCTGACAAGTCTCATAACATGAAAGTTTTTTGAAAATCGTCATAATATTTGAATAGCGGATACATTGAAAAATAATGGAAAGGAATGATTATACTTGGTGGAGGGAGGGGGAGGTACTTCTAACGTACCCATACCAGATATGACATCTTTAACCACTTGCTCTTTTTATTTAATTTCATTCTATAAAATTTAGTCCTGCTGCTGTTTTTATGCTTTACTGTATTTAGGTAACCATTAAATGAATGGAGAATTACTTGCAGTAACAGACACCAATTGAAGAACATGAATAAATTATTACTAGTACATGGTTTATGCAAAGGGTCATTCATTTATTATATCATGCCATTCTCAATAAATACTTTCAGCTACAGAATTGATGTTAATTGGTATTAGTTAATAAAATTGCTTTTATTTGCTTTTCTTTCATACCAGAAAGAAGACGGTCAAGATCTAGGTCCAGGGACAGAGATAGAGATCGATACAGAAAAGAAAGAGGTCAGTTATGTGGCATTTCATTTTTTTTTTTCCATCAGATATGTTTATTGATCAATGAACAATGAACAGTTTTAATCTTATTTCTCAGTCAACCCTGAAAAGACCAATTTTCTATTTATGGCTCAAGCCCGAGTTTTATCCTCATACATGTAGCACCTAGTTTTTAAATCAGATCTGTGGTCTGGGAAGTTTCAAGCATTAGCAGGTCTTATTCACAATTTCAGATAATATGTACTTTTGTGCTTATGCATAAAAAATAAAGGTGTACGCTACTGTAAATTGATGATCAGCTAGCAGTGTTAACCACAAGGCAGGGCTCTCCAGTCTTTTGCTTACCTCTCACCTCTTCAACTCACACTGTTGAAAAGCCAACTTGTTCTTTGTTCTTTGACAACGGTCTTGGCCAGCATGATTGTTCGGGAGTTTGCTTTTCTGTGCGGGAAACAATCCCAGATCTTCTTCTATTCAGAAGTCTGTAACAGCAGTTTTTAACATATGTAGGCCTATAATTTCACAGCAGCGTAACTGATACAGAAATGAGCGCTTTCAGGAGGTGAGAGGTAAGCAAAATATTTGAGAGCCCCTGACAAACAGCTGAGTCACAGCTGAGTCACAGCTGAGTTGCTAACTGGTTGTTATTTTATAGTTATGAGCACCTGTTTCCTTTTGTTAAAGTGTATATATATATATATGTAGTACGTGGAACTGTAAATAGAAGTGCTAATGCTTAAGACTTTGTGCTAAAATGTAATAAGTACAGAGTTTATACTAATGTTCACTTATATTTAAGAAAAACACTGAAACTCACATCTGGCATCACAGCCTATTTTTGACCACAAAATATTACAATAGTTTTTTTTCTGTTTCTCTCCAGATTATCGTAAACGTTCCAGGTCCAGATCTCCACGAAGACGCAGGTCAATCTCACCCAGAAGAAGATCAAGGTTTGACAAATTTTAAATAACCTAAAACACACTGTATTTGTTAAATTTAAGCAGGGAACTTTAGAATCAGGTATTGTTAGTGGAAATGGTTTCTGTGAGTTTTGATTGAAAATCATAACAATGTGCATTTTGTTTTGTTCTTGGAGTAACAAAATGACTTTTAGGTTTTTCCACTGTAACCATTTTCTCTTCTGTTCTTGGTTTTGACCTGTCTGTTTTGTACATTCAGATCACGAGATCGTAATAGAGATCCACGAGACAGAGACCGTGGTGGAAGAGATAGGAGGGAATATGATAATGCCTCTGATGAGGAAAAAGCGTACAAGGTAGCAGAGCAGCCTGCCATAGAGTTAGATCGTAAGTATTTATCTGGTAAATTTTATAAATAAATTGTCCATCTGCAGTTATATTATCATAATTTTGGGTTTGCTCCAGCTGCTGATTTTTTCTACTATATAATTGCTTCACTAAATTTAAAAGAATTATCATTTGTGTTTGAGAGGTTTATTTGCCAATTCATTCACATCAGGACTTTATTATTAGTTGACATGTGCAAGACTTTTTTATGAAACGTGATTACAAGCCTTTGAACCGTAAGTCCATTGAGTTCATGCCATGCTTTAGACAATGCCCACAAATATGTGTTTTGGAGTTCTATGCTACAGTATATATGGACTACAGTTGGCAGGAGTATTATGTGCCTGAAAGTATTTCCACACTTCTTACCTGCAGTCTCAGTGTTTTAAAATTAAAATTTACTCCTTTAAGGGGAGTGGCAGTTATGAGTATTGTCATGGCAGGTGTTGTTAGATTATACTATTCTAATTATTTGGATTGACAGCTTTTTAGTCTCTGACAGATGGTTAAATTTGCTGGTTTGCTTCATTTTATTTTACATTTTAGCATCTCAGCTAGAAGGAAAATCTGAAGAAGAAATTGAAATGATGAAGATAATGGGATTTGGAGGTTTTGAAACCACCAAAGTAAGTTATAAAAACATTTAGGTTGTTATGACCAATTTTGAATTCCCATGTGAAGTCCTGTACTCCTAATGAGTTTTGTTGGGTATATTTTACCCATTAACATTCTGATGAAAATGCATGTTTTGGACTTGATATGAAAGGTAGTGAGAATTAAGGCAAGTATGTTTGTACCTCTTTCGCCAAATACTTAAGCAAAAAAGACCGTTTCATTTTTTCTAGAGAAGTCCAAATGTGTCGTGATGCAGTTTAGAATTACATAGTCATATTTTATTGTTTACAGGAGATGCCTGAATGTTTAGTTAAGATGCATGTGCAATTTGATTCTTGGGGGGGTTAGAACCACAGGATTTTTTCTAGAATTGTTAGTTGTTATCCGAGGTTTTTATGGCCAGCCAATATTTACATCTAACAAGTAGTCATATTTCTTTAGCTAA